CCCCAAAACCCCAAAACCCCTTGATACTTTTTATGTTTAAAAATGAATTTGGTTATAATAATAAATTAAAAAAATCTTAAAAGATATTAGTCTGAGAACAATGTAAAATATTAGTGAGTTCAAATTCCCAACTCATCTGAATAATGATCAAATAAATGCAATAAAGCATATCGGACAACCTCTGCTAGTTTTAGCTGGAGTTGGAACTGGAAAGACAGAAACTCTAATGACTAAGTTTGCATATCTGGCACACAAGTGTAATGACTATGAGAAAATACTTGCTGTTACTTTTACCAAAAAGGCTGCAAATGAAATGTAAAAGAGAGCTCAACAGATACTAAGGAAAAACTTTTCATTCTAGCCTTGGATTGGAACATTTCATAATATTAGTAGAAGATTTCTCTAGATGGACTGCAACTATAAGATCATGGGACTTAAAAAAGACTTTGATATTGCTGATGAAAAGAAAGCGAGGGAATACGTTGGTAAAGCTTTGAAGCATCTTAAAAAATCTGAAAACAGCACTATTGTTTAGAGAATTTGAGCTGTCCTTAAAATTGGATATTGCTAAGGAGGATTTATAGTAGCAATTTAGAAACTAGTTGAAAGAGTATAAATATAAGCTTTCAATTCAGAAGGCAAATTAGATCTCTAATGTTAAATTGTTAAAAAGGAGATTTATCCATTATACTAAAAACTCATGCGAAAAGATAACTTGATTGATTTTGGTGACCTTTTAATTAGTTTGATACTTCTTGCATAATAAGAGGAAAAGATATAAACTTTAAGAAATCTTTTTGAATATGTTCTTGTTGATGAAGCTTAGGATCTAAATCGGATTCAGTTTTTGTGGATTAATGTGCTTACATTAAATAATATGCATGTTACATACGTTGGTGATGATGACTAAATAATTTATGGATTTAACGGATCTGATGGGAGAGTTGTTAGAAATTTCAACTATATATACCCTACTGGAACTATAATTAAACTTGTCTAGAATTATAGATCAACCTAGACTATCATTAATCTTGCAAATAATCTGATATCTCATAACAAGAATAGACATTAAAAGGACATATGAACTGATAACAAAGTAGGAGAGAACTACACAATAGAAAAGTATAAAAATGAAAATGTGCAAGCTTCAGATATTTGCAGATAGATAAAGATATTGATAGACTAATAAGGAGTATAAGGAAGTTAAATTGCTATTTTAATAAGGAAAAATATTCAAGGTGATCTATTTGAAGAGGAGTTATGTAAGCATAAAATACCTTTCACATTACCCAAATAGGAGATGCTAAAATTGAATGAAGTAAAACTAGCTATCAACTTCCTATCAGTTTTATTTGATCCTGAAAATACTTATTCATATTAGTAGGTTTTGATATGCTTGCCAGGAATTGGTCTGGCTACATTCAAGAAACTGTTGAGTGAAGCTGATGAATATGATGTTTCAGTAAAAGAACTCTTATAGATTATTTTAAAACAAGATGAAACTCACATATTTTAGAGTATAAATACTGATGAAGAATAGATTAGAATTTCAAGTTTCTTAGGTAGTATGTAAAAGCTAGATTTGAATGATTGGGATGAAAACTCATAAATAAATCAGATTGCAAATATTAGAAGAATTCCTTCATTATAATCAGTTATACCAGAAAGCGAGCGGCTTTAATAAATTGATGCAAAAACTATTCTCAATAAGAAATAAGTAAAATCAGTCAAGCTCTTGTTTGAAGTTTTAAAGAAATATGAAGATGTAGATATTTCTTAAGTTCAACTAATAATAGAGTACCTCAATAAACTCAACTTTTTCAATATCTGCATGCAAAAAGCCAATATTCACTAGAACGAGAAGACAATTAAAGAAAATATAATATAAGTTTTGGATAAATTGAGCAAGTTCTAGTGTTTTAAGGATTTCTCTTAATTATATAAGGATTAAGATGAAATGCTTTTTAAAGGGAATACTCACCAAGATGAAGAAGATAAGAAAGTGAGATTTATCACTATACATTAATCAAAGGGTCTAGAATTTGAACATGTAAGCATTGAAAATTGATGATTTATAAATTTAGGTTTTCTTACCCAATTGGTCTTAAGGAAATATTCCTTATAATATAAAGAAAAATGAAGATCCATTAGAATTTATTGAAGAAGAGAGAAGACTTGCATTTGTTGCATTGACTAGAGCAAAACTTTAGGTTCATTTTAGCTATTCTTGCTACGAATATAATTCAAGAATCAATAAAATGATAAAAATGTAGCCCTCAGATTTTCTAGAAGAAATGCTGAAAAGTCCATAGAATTAGTAACCCCGAAGAAGTCTAATTATTAATGAGAGAAGATTCATTTGATTAGATGATAAACTTTTGATGAAGTTGTGTGTTATTAATAATCAATTTCATAAATTTTTCTTTTAAATATTCTCTTGGGGTTTTGGGGTTTTGGGGTTTTGGGG